ACTTAATTACATTATTGTCCTTATTAAATTATTTATATATAATAAAAGTTAATTTATTAATTAAAAAAGTTTGAGGTTATTGGGTTGTTCTCGCATTCTCGTAAATCACAGGGGTTCTCGTTTGAGCCTCCACCTATATATATATATATATATATATTACTTTAAAAAATTTAATTATGTTATCATTATTTATAGTTTTAGAAAGAAAAAAAAAAACTAAAATATTTATTAGTTGGTTTTATAAGTTTTTAAAAAATTATACAAAGACATTACATGAAATTAATGTACTTTGTTTTGAATCCTATTTTCAGTAATGTACTTTTAAAACCATTACTTTGGTATCTAAGATAAAACATCTCAAACATTTAGATATCTGATTTACCTATCGATCTAAAAATGTTGATTAAAATTAGGTTATTACTGACATGTCATGAATTATTTTATATTTGTAAAAGTTTTTTACTTACATAATTATTTTTTTAGTTTTTAGAACTTATATTTTTTTAAACGATTTGTGTGAGATTTTCTTAATGAAAAATAATTATAAAAAATGTAAAAGGTTTCTTTTAATAACAAATATTTTTAAACACAATTATCAACTATTCACAACAAAGTATTTAAACAAAAGGGCAATTTTCTATTTTAATTTCATTTTAATTTTTTACTAGAATTTTATTTGTGAAATTTGCCTTAAAAAAGGTTAATAATAAAACCACAGGGGTGGTGCCTGATTGGTTTGAACTTGGCTTTAAAGATCAAAAGTACCTACCTGGAGGTCCTAGGTCCAAATCCATGAAGGAATAAAAATCTCCTCGTGGCCACGGAGGTTCAAATGCAGTGACTCCGGACTATCTGCAAAGCAGGTGGTCGTCCTGGGATTAATCGGCTCGCATAGCGAGTTGGATATCCAGGTTAATTAAAAAAAAAGTTAATAATAAACCATCTTCAAAACCCTAATATGTGGGCTGTAAATATATCATCTAACCTCTAGTCATCTTAAACCATCGTGAACAAGTATACGGAACCTACTTCAACCCTTGTAAACATAATCGTCATAATATTGTCGAGAAGAAGTTCGATGGCGAAATCTTCCGTGATGTTTCGGTTTTCTCCGGTGATAAAATTAAAGTCACAAAATGATGACGAGACACCATTAAAGCTTGAATGATTTATCTCGATTCAAGCGTTGGCCAAGGTTGCGAGCATGATGAGCTCCAAAATAAGAAGAAGAATAGAAGAAACGAAACGAACGACTAAGACTCCATTGGAACGGTGGTGATTGTGAACTTGTTCTTTTAAATCTAATTGTGTATCTGGTTGAACGTTCATGGTATTCATATTTTTGTTTATATTTTTAAAATCTGAAATGCAATAATAAAAAACCTAAAACCAATTTTATGTAAAAAAACCATATTATTTGCCACATCAATAACTAATGTTTAGTGGTATGTCATGTCATCATGATAACATGTTAATGGTTAAAACGGTTAACCATCTAAAACATACATATTTTAAGGGATGGGTTCTCGATTGGTCTTGATCTGTTTCAATGAGTTCTCGTTCAGTCTCAATATGTTCTCAAAGAGTTCTCGAGAGAATCTCAATGGGTTATTGACGGTGGTGGTTTTGTAAGAGATGGAACAATACAACACACCAACACACACTAGGGGACGTTTACCTAAACAATTAGATTGTTCCTAGGTTCATAAGTTTTTTATAGTTCCTATTTGGAACTTCCTATCAAATGAGAAATCAGTAATTTATGATAACTGTGAGATCCAATTTAAACCACTCATTTAAGATAATTATGTTATTTGTTAAATAAATAGAAAAGAGTAATTTAGTATAAGAAAGACAGCTCATAAACGCATTTAATTAATTTATTCTCTCCATAAGTATAAAACTTATATAACTCTCATAAATAAGAAATAGACTCTTCATAATGTCTTACCTTTGAATCTTTAATGCTAGTAACACAAAGTGTATTTTCAATGTTTTTTTTGTATCACATTATGTATTTTTCGTTATTTACTATGTATCACATTGTGTATATAGTGGTATCACCGTGAACATCACAGTGGACATCAACAGGTATAAGTGGGTATATAAAGAGAATGATCTTGATCGGGTATCACAGTGGTTCACACCAGAGGGGAGATAGAAAAGAAGAGATAAGATTTCTAAAAAACCTAAAATGCCACTATTTAAAATTTTTAAGTCAAGACCAAAGTTATTAATTTCCTAATTATGATTGAGATTGGATCTCACAAAGTATTGAGTTCTCCCTTGGATGACCCCTATATATAATATATAAACACAGGATCATCTCTTAACATGTTAAATGTGAAATTTTGAATAGGGCTCTTGAAAATTTGGGCTCAAATTTACATGTGTTTATGGTCTTTTTATCGACCTGTGTAAAACTATAGCCGAAATTATTTAGATTCAAACCATTAATTATTTGGTTTTAGGTTCAAATTATTAATGGTTTAGGTTTAGTTTCATATTGTTAATCGTTTTAAGATTTAGCCCACTTAACATATATTATTTGTCATCTCATTTATGCAATGTAATTAAAAGTTTTGGATGTAGCAGAGCCTCCAAAAAGATTGGAACGTTCCTGTATAAACATACAAAGTTGTTGACACGTCCCTTCCTCCACCCCCTTCACCTGCATCTATCTCCGGGCTCCCTCAAACGTGAAAAATATGACATGCACAACTTTCTTCTCTAATGGGGTTTTCAACATTCAATCTCTTCTTCTCCGATGAGGGTATTGATATGGCAAAGATTAGACTACAACGCTCATAAATCTCAAGCTTTCGTATTGATCAGTTTGTAACCCCTTTTGTTTGTAGAATTACGATAACCATGTTGTATTTTCAAAAAGATAAAATCAAAATATCTTATGCCAACAAAACACAAGGAACTATTTGTAGGTTTCTCTCATAATAAACATCAAGCACCACAAGGATGGTGCATGATTGGTTTGAACTTGGCTCCAAAGGTCAAAAGTATCTGGAGGTCCCAGGTTCAAATCCAATGAAGAATAAAAATCCCCTTATGGCCACAGAGATTCAAATACGATGACTCCAGATTATCTACAAAATAAATGATCGCCTTAAATTTAATCGGCTCAAGTAACAAATTGAATATTCAGGTTAAAAAAAAACATCAAAACAAAACACAAGACCAAATTCATAATTGACGGGAAGGTGTTTATGATAAGCACGGAAAGAACAAGGGAGTTGTGGGGTCTCCAAACATCTAGGCTGACTTTTTGCTTACGCATTTAGATCAAACACAAGTTAGACCCAACAATGGCCGTTTTCTGGTTCACTGTATCCGGACGCATCTGAATCACCTGCCGATTCTACCGCACATGATCATTCAATTCGTTTCTCACCAAAAACCATTTTATTACCTCCAAGATTCTTCTATTTAACTCAACTCATGAACTATCAGTTGCTTCCAACTACCGATTCCAAATCGGATTTGGCGTCCTCGTCATCATCGTCCATGGATTTGGTTACCAATGGAAGTGTTGATTTCAGAGGCAGAGTTGCCAATAAACGGAAAACCGGCGGATGGAAAGCTACTCCCTTCATCATCGGTACTTTTAACTTCACAGATCATTACTCAAATTCATCGTCTTCTTAATAGGTCGGTCTAATTATTGATTTTGTGAAGCTAACGAGGCGGCGGAGAGACTTTCGGCGTTCACGGTGTCCGCGAGTCTGGTATTGTATCTAACCAATGAGATGAAGGAATCGTTACCAGATGCAGCCACACATGTGAGTGATTGGGTGGGAGCTACATATCTTCTTATGCTTCTCGGTGCTTTTCTCGCCGATGCTTATTTGGGCCGTTACCTCACCGTCATCCTCTCCTCCGCCGTCTACCTCGTTGTATGTGCCTTCTTGTTTTCCGTTACTGCAATCACTCCCCCCAAATAAATGCTCTGAATGCTCTTTCATTTCCATTCATTGCTAAACATACATTAGATGTTACTGTAAATTTCACCAACAACATTGAAGAACGTGATCCATTCAAAATTATTTATAATAATTAACGATAAGAAGACAAGAAGTTCCGTCGGTTTTATTTCTATGGAATCACCAAAACGGAACAAAGGTTTAGAGCTCATTGCAAGTTCTTGACTCAACCATGTCTATACTATATTTAGGTAAAACCCTTGGATTTTGAATTTTGGTATGAAGCATTACTACAATTCACATATGAATTAATGGTTATTTGTTTATAGTTTTTGGCTCAAACCATGTTTATAAAAGGTGGAGTGGATCCTATGCCCTATAAAAAGGATTTAGGCCTCGGTTTCAAAGTGCGCCAAATCAAATTGCAGTTCAAGTATTTGATTTTGTTGTTTCTTGTTCTCTTATAATAGAGTGTAGAAAGATGAGTTGAATTGTTGTTTTATATTTTGATGCATTGCAGAGGTACACAATTAGTATTCCAAATAGGCAAGTGAGTTTATAGGGTTTGGTTTATGTTCTATTTTCAACACTATTCACATGTGCATACGAACTGATCATAACATACAAGTAGAAATATGTGCCAAGATTCACTCGTTTACTTGTTAGCTAGCGCTATTCAACTTAGCTTTCGAATCTACTTGAACTTGAACTAGAGCTAGAACTACTATTCAGGTCAACTCTTACCGAAATCGGATTTCCTTTTAGTTGATTATGATTTTTGTCATTCGCTATGATCAGGGAATGGTGCTGCTGACTGTTTCAGCTTCAGTCGACAGCTTACGCCCCAAAACTTGCAACGAACCATCAAACTGCCCAAAAGCAACCCCAGGCCAATCGGCTCTCCTCTACTCTGCCCTGGCCCTCGTGGCTCTAGGCACAGGCGGTGTTAAACCCAACGTCCCTTCATTTGGTGCCGACCAACACGACGAAAACGATGAAAAAGAACTTGGGTACAAGTACACCTTCTTCAACTTTTTTTTCTTATCAATAAAGGTGGGGGCTTTGTTAGGCCTCACAGTTATGGTGTATATAGAACAGGAGAAAGGCTATGCTTGGGGTTTCGGCCTTCCAACTGTCATCATGTTTGCATCGGTTTTGATATTGGCAGCCGGGTTTCCCAAGTATCGGTACAAGAAGCCGATGGGGAGTGTTTTTACTAGATTTATTCAAGTGCTTGTGGTTTCAGTAAGAAATCATTTTAGAGGTGTTCAAGCGAATCCTGAAGTTAAGCTTTATGAGGTTGCTACAGAAGAATCTGATATCTTCGGTGCAAGAAAGCTCTCTCATACTCCTCACTTCAGGTTAGATACATCATTCCTACATAATAAACAAATTCAAACCAAATATATCTGTTATATCCCATTCGCAAGTAGGGTTTGGGAGTGGTAAAATGTATGCAGACCTTCCCTTGCTCCCAAATGGCAAGTAAGGCGTGGAAAGTGAAGAATATACGCAGATCTTTCCTCTACCAATGGCAAGTAGGGTGTGGAGAGGGTGTAGAACGTATGCAAATCTTTCCTCTACCAAATGGCAAGTAGAGTTTGAAAAAGGTAGGATGTACGCAAACCTTTTCTCTGCCCCAGAGGGCAAGTAGGGTCTGGAAATGGTAGAATGTATGCAAATCTTTCTTCTGTCCCAAAGGGAAAGTAGGGTCCGGAAAAGGTAGGATGTATCCAAATCTTTCTTCTGCTCCAAAAGGCGAGTAGGGTCTGGAAGAGGTAGGATGCATGCAAATCTTTCCTACGCCCCAAAGGGCAACAGGGTCCGGAAAGGGTAGGATGTATGCAAATCTTTCTTCTGCCCCAAAGGGCAAGTAGGGTCTGGAAGAGGTAGGATGTCCACATATCTTTCCTCTCCTTGCTAAAACTCAATTTCATCTGATATTAATTTAGCAATCATAATTTGGTTTTCAGATTCTTGGACAAAGCAGCAGTGGTGGAAGATCCCGAGTTATCGAACGTAAAGAACCGATGGGAACTATGTACGGTGACACAAGTAGAAGAGTTGAAAACCTTCTTACGAGTCTTCCCCGTATGGGCATCAACCATCGCTCTTTCCCTCTCATTAGCCCAGCAATCAACCTTCTTCCTCGCCCAATCCAAAATCTTGGACCGACACCTTGGCCCAAACTTCATCATCCCACCGGGCTCCATGCAAGTTTTTGCGGTCGTAAACGCCTTCGTCACCGTTCCCATCTACGAAAAGCTCATCCTCCCCATCATCCAACGGAAAACGCAGCACCACCGTGGCTTCACATCCTTGCAACGAATGGGCATCGGTCTGTTCATTTCCATTTTTGCCCTTGCCGTGGCTGCCGCCGTTGAACACATGCGTAGGACTCACCCCAACCCGTCAAGCCTAAGCGTTTTCTGGTTGGTTCCGCAGTTCTTCATTCTGGGCGGGGCCGAGTCTTTCACTTATGTCGGGCAATTGGAGTTTTTCTACGATGAAGCTACCGACGGTATGAAAAGCGTTTGTGGCGCATTGTTTTTGAGTGAGATTGGGATCGGAAGTTGGGTAAATAGCGCGCTTGTGAATATCGTGGAGCGGGCAACAGGAACGGGAAAAAACGGATGGTTGAGAGACGATCTTAACGTGAGCAAACTCGACTATTATTATTCGATATTAGCAGGGATCAGTGCGATTAATTTGTTTGTATACATATGGGTGGCTCGAAGGTACAAGGGTCGACGCCAAGGTTAATATGTACCATTATAAATACCTCACAGCAGCTGTAATGAATGAACATATGGTTTGTGTTTTTATGTTTTATCAATTTAAGTCCATTGGTCTTGTGATTGGTGTTGAAATCTCGGATTTTTATCCGTGTTCGGTGAGAACTTGGGCGATGGGACCGTTGATGTTGGATATATCATCAACGCTGGTGGCATGATGAGAGGCCATTTTATAAGTAGGAGTTGTTAAAAAAACGAGAGAAAGATTAGTAGGAGTTGTGAAAAAATCGAAACTGAATATGAGTAAAATCATGAATTTTGTAGCAAAAGTTATGAACACTTTTTGTGTTTGTGAGTTGGTATCTTCCCTCGTACATCATAGGATGTATACATAGTGTAAATGGGATTATGGGACAAAAAAGGTCAAAATGAAGTGGAAAAGGATCAAAAACGGCTATAAACACGACTAGTTTCTTGAAAATCAGTCCTTCTCATAACCAGTCCCATAACCGATCCCAGGTCCAACAACTGCTTCAATCAATGCGAAATCTAGCCGGTCCCTGTTTTTGGCTTGAAAGTGTAACTGGTCCATAACTGGCGGTCCCGGGTCCCGCTCCAAAGTCAGGCCAGTGTTTGGCCATATCTACTTGAAGTCATCATAGAGATGAATGTAATTAGTTTGAAGTCTTGAAGTTAATGAAATGCATTTCTCAATTTATTATGTTTGTATTATATTTCGTGTTTTAATTATGCATAATGACCATATGATGATGTATTCTAAAAGGTCCATAATTAAATACTACCTTGGTCAGTTGGGGTCAATTACAGTAATATGGTAACTATAACATATTGTTCAAAATGAAGATTTTATATACAGTTGGTGACTTGTTATCATAACAGTACATTGCATTCAGTATCATAAGTGTTTCTTAGGTGATCATTATACATATAAACAGTAATTTCAACACGATTCGTGGTCATTTGTTCTTTGAAAAAGGAAAAGTAGTTGTATTTGAAAAGTTATTAATTCGAAGATCAAAAGTGTTTGAGTTGTCAAATTGATTCAGACCCAAAAGTATTTTAAGGATCGATTCGAGTTATGGAATAAATGCTATATGTTTTCTTTTATGGTTTTAAACTTTTTTTAGTGTTCATGATTCTTGTTGAATTATTGGATGACAGGTATCACTTATCTTATTTTATCTGGTGAGCATGATAAAGATAGAGAGTCTTATCTAGTAAGAACAATAACAAGGATTCAGTTTTGAAAATCCAGTATGGACATTTGTAAACCACTCTTCTTGTAAATGTTTCGTGTTTTTTTATATGTATTTACTTAAATCTAAATAACTATTATGATAAATTACGAGACATCTGAAATACCTTTTTTAATGTCAAACCATGTTTATATGGTAAAATGTTTATTTATGTGTATACTTTAGTAGACAAACATATTGTCCCTCGTCAAAATCTTATTCAGGAGTAGTTTACCAAACGTTTATCCGGATAAACGATTATCAAGTCACATTATCTTACCAGAGAAATATGGCAAGGACCAAGAATCCTACCCGGTAAAAACGAAGGCAAGGACCTAGAGTCTTACCTGGTAAGTGAAGGCAAAGACTCCTACCATGATTAGCGCTCACGGGGTAAATTGTTGCATACAATACCGTTTTGGTAGACTAAAATCATACCCGGTAAGTAAGTAATAGCGATGAATTTCGCCGATAAGCACTTGCTTAGGTAAACGTTTGGTAAATGACTCTTACTTTATATTTGCATATATTGTAGTTTAAGTAAGAAATGATATGGTAAATTTTACTTTACCATTTTCTGAACCAATTTATGCACACCTTGACTAATCCCAGGAGTCTCAGAAAACAAGAATAAACCGTAATTTTGTGCTATGTAGTTAATACAAGTATGTTAGTTGTGACGATCGCCAAGCATGAGATATTTTCCAGAATGCTTCTCGTACGTATCTAGATGGTTGTTCTCTAGAATGTTCCTTTGAGTAGTATAAATAAGATGGTGGCCTTATTTGGCTTAACACTCCTCAAAGAATATAAGTTTCCTTTATATTCCAATATTCTCGTGCGTTCACTTTACTTGCCTTAATCGTCTGTTGTTTTAGGAGTTTGGCTGACTTAGTTCGAGAAGTAATTCTTGTAGGGTGTGTTTGGTACGCTAGATATGACAGAACAGAACAAGGATCCATGTTCCACATTTGACAGAATTTTTATGTGGAACAGACATGAATAGAGTTGAACAAAATGGAACATGGTAACCGCCTCTCCC